TGTGTTCCGAACGTTTCGGAGATGGCAAGTTTGGATTCACAAGAGACGGGACACGGTTTACAAAAGCCTCAGAAGTCTTTTCCCGGATACCAAACGGGGCAGCTTTTGAATCAAATCTGAAAAAAAATGAAAAGTGCTCAAATCGAAAGAATTGAGAGACAAAAAACACACACCGATGCAAATGAAATTAGCATTTTGGCGCACGAATAGTAAGCTCAGCTGTCTTCCCAGGCTTTCCAAAAACAAAACTAAGTAATTTCTTGCACAATAACGTTATTTTGTAAGGCGATTCACAGGCTATAAAATATCCTAACAAAAATGAGAATACTTGATCGATCATGTTCATCAAGTGCGGTCGAGATTTTTGCTAAATCATGAAAAAACACCTGCGATAATAATCAGGGCTGCACAACAAATGAACACTGAATATAATCCCATTTATTTCTATGCAGTACCTTTATTATATTTTTATCCAAGTCATATTATATTATTGCTATACGACCATCACTTGAACTAATTTGCCAAAGGAGGAAGAAAATATACTGTAATTTCAGCACTTGCGATTTCAGAAGCATAGTAAATAAAATTCAGAGGGTTGAATAAATGGTATTCTACAGATACTTCATTTTTTAATATATTTGATATTTCATCAAATTTTCCAAAATATTTGGCAGAAATATTTAGATCAAACTTCGAAGAAATATGCATGGATCAAATAATAATTTCACAGGCTCGCATATGGCACGCTAATACAGTATTATATTTTCATTTGTGACATTAATATGATCAATAATTTTTTATAAAATGCAAGAATAACTCATGACATACCCTGGATTCAGGCCGACGTTCTGGTCAAGAGGTCGAGGGTAATTGAATCTGTGTGCAGGACTTCGCCAATGCTGATGACCAGCATAATCATGACTGATGGGTTTCGCGGGTACGGGCATGGCGGGTTTATTCCGACAAGGAACCCCGTGGAATCCTCCATGTTTCTTGTTTTTCGACTGCGTACTCGTCACTAGTAATTCGAGGTGACGAGTATCAGCGCTCGAAGCAGCACGAACACGACCATTTTCTATCCACAACCCCGGAATGGCTCCAACCAGTTCGAAGATATTCTTGAATCCCAACTCGGAAAACTTGAGGCGTACTCCTTTCATGTCATGATATTCCTCTGAAATAGAAACACAAGCTAAACTGCAGGAAAAAGAACGCCAAGAAACGTGCTGTTCAAACCAACTCGCGAGGCTTTCAACTGGAGCTCCGCCATTTTGCAGCTTCACCAAAGCTATGATGTCCTGTCTCGTTGCCTCGTCTACAACACGCGCCATCTTCAGGTATGT